AGGTCTGCTATGAAGTGAGACAGGTCGTATAAGTCCTGGTCGGGTTCGACCTCCATCAGGTCGGGTTCGACCTCGAACAGGTCGGGTTCGACCTCGATTAGGACAGGTGAGATCTGGTCGAGTTTCACATGGTGGTGGAGTGTTTTGCAAGGTCTTGGTGGTTTAGGAATATCTTTACACATTCCACTGTCAGTCCATTTTAAGCATTTATAATAATACAGTCGCTTATTTTCTGGTCCTTCCCTCGTGGTGAACTCCAGACCTCGGGTGGCCATTAAACGTCCGATATGGAACTTGTGTATCTCCTGAAGCCCATTTTGTTGACAGTACGTGTTATATTCTTGAAATAGGTCGTGTCGACCTACTATGTCGTTACTGTCGGATGAAGGAGAGAGAAACTTCTCGAAAAATGACGAAAAGTCTTCCTTTTTTTCAGCTGACGTTTTAACTCGTTTTGGCTGCTTGACGTTTTCCATGTCTGATTTGCGTTTTCTGTTGACAGAAGTATTTTGGTTTGAGGGAATATCCACCGACTTGCTTTTTACAGCTGGCTACGAGCACGAGGCAAGGACTTCCACACAAGGCTGAAAGACGACGCCTGGGAAGGCGTACTTCTGGCCGACGCCGTGAGAGCCCCCCACGCGCACATTGCATTTCGCACCTAACTTGGACATTAACCGTCCAATATTAACAACTGAAGCCGGGGAGATGCCTTGGCCATCACAGTACTTCTTATACTCGCGGACTAAATCTTCCCGTAAGATCAATTGTGTCGAAATACCGGTGAAAATTACTTTTTCTTCAAGGAATTTAAGGAATTCCTTCTTGCCGTTGAATCGTTGTTCAGGTTGCGTATTTGCCATTTTATTCAAAGTTTTCATCAGTGATGTCTTAAATTACTGTACAGTAGTAAACAAGAATTAGTGAGATGTCAAAAAATATAGTAAGAGGCTCTGTTAAAGTAATGTTAGTGTTGTATTGTAGGGATGTTAGTATTTTGTAGTGATGATGTTAGTGTTGGCTTAAAGTGATGTTATTGTTGTGTTGTAGTGATGATGTTAGTGATGTGTTGTAGTGATGTTAGTGTTGTGTTGTAGTGATGTTAGTGTTGTGTTGTAGTGATGTTAGTATTTTGTAGTGATGATGTTAGTGTTGGCTTAAAGTGATGTTATTATTGTGTTGTAGTGATGATGTTAGTGTTGGCTTAAAGTGATGTTAGTGTTGTGTTGTAGTGATGATGTTAGTGATGTGTTGTAGTGATGTTAGTGTTTTGTAGTGATGATGTTAGTGTTGGCTTAAAGTGATGTTATTGTTGTGTTGTAGTGATGATGTTAATGTTGGCTTAAAGTGATGTTATTGTTGTGTTGTAGTGATGATGTTAGTGTTGGCTAAAAGTGATGTTAGTGTTGGCTTTAGGTGATGTTAGTGTTGTGTTGTAGTGATGATGTTAGTGATGTGTTGTAGTGATGTTAGTGTTGGCTTAAAGTGATGTTATTGTTGTGTTGTAGTGATGATGTTAGTGATGTGTTGTAGTGATGTTAGTGTTTGCTTAAAGTGATGTTATTGTTGTGTTGTAATGATGTTAGTGTTGTGTTGTAGTGGTGATGTTAGTGTTTGCTTAAAGTGATGTTAGTGTTGTGTTGTAGTGATGTTAGTGTTTTGTAGTGATGATGTTAGTGTTGGCTTAAAGTGATGTTAGTGTTGTGTAGTAGTGATGATGTTAGTGTTGGCCTAAAGTGATGATAGTGTTGTGTTGTAGTAATAATATTAGTGTTGTGTTGTAGTGATGTGTTGTAGTGATGTTAGTGATGTGTTGTAGTGATGTTAGTGTTGTGTTGTAGTGATGATGTTAGTGTTTGCTTAAAGTGATGTTAAATTTGTGTTGTAGTGATGTTAGTGTTGTGTTGTAGTGATGATGTTAGTGTTGGCTTAAAGTGATGATAGTGTTGTGATGTTAGTGATGTGTCGTAGTGATGTTAGTGTTGTGTTGTAGTGATAATATTAGTGTTGTGTTGTAGTGATGTTAGTGTTGTAGTGACGATGTTAGTGTTGGCTTAAAGTGATGTTAGTGTTGTGTTGTTAGTGATGGGTCGTAGTGATGTTAGTGTTGTGTTGTAGTGATGTTAGTGTTGTAGTGATGATGTTAATGTTGGCTTAAAGTGATGATAGTGTTGTGTTGTAGTGATAATATTAGTGTTGTGTTGTAGTGATGTGTTGCAGTGATGTTAGTGATGTGTTGTAGTGATGTTAGTGTTGCGTTGTAGTGATGATGTTACTGTTGGCTTAAAGTGATGTTAGTGTTGTGTTGTAGTAATGATGTTAGTGTTGTGTTGTAGTGATGTTAGTGTTTTGTGGTGATGATGTTAGTGTTGGCTTAAAGTGATGTTAGTGTTGTGTTGTAGTGATGTTAGTGTTGCGTTGTAGTGATGATGTTACTGTTGGCTTAAAGTGATGTTATTGATGTGTTGTAGTGATGATGTTAGTGTTGTGTTGTAGTGATGTTAGTGTTTTGTGGTGATGATGTTAGTGTTGGCTTAAAGTGATGTTATTGATGTGTTGTAGTGATGATGTTAGTGTTGTGTTGTAGTGATGTTAGTGTTGCGTTGTAGTGATGATGTTACTGTTGGCTTAAAGTGATGTTATTGATGTGTTGTAGTGATGATGTTAGTGTTGTGTTGTAGTGATGTTAGTGTTTTGTGGTGATGATGTTAGTGTTGGCTTAAAGTGATGTTATTGATGTGTTGTAGTGATGATGTTAGTGTTGTGTTGTAGTGATGTTAGTGTTGCGTTGTAGTGATGATGTTACTGTTGGCTTAAAGTGATGTTATTGATGTGTTGTAGTGATGATGTTAGTGTTGTGTTGTAGTGATGTTAGTGTTGCGTTGTAGTGATGATGTTACTGTTGGCTTAAAGTGATGTTATTGATGTGTTGTAGTGATGATGTTAGTGTTGTGTTGTAGTGATGTTAGTGTTTTGTGGTGATGATGTTAGTGTTGGCTTAAAGTGATGTTAGTGTTGTGTTGTAGTGATGATGATGTCATTGGTGCTGTGTGTTGGTGGTTATTGGTGCTGTGTATTGGTGGTTATTGGTGTTGTGTGTTGGTGGTTATTGGTGCTGTGTGTTGGTGGTTATTGGTGTTGTGTGTTGGTGGTTATTGGTGCTGTGTGTTAGTGGTTATTGGTGTTGTGTGTGGGTGGTTATTGTGTTGTGTGTTGGTGGTTATTGCGCTGTGTGTTGGTGAAGTTACAGGTGTGTTGGTGGTCATTGGTGCTGTGTGCTGGTGGTTGGTTGGTGCTGTGTGTTGGTGGTTATTGGTGCCAGTGTTGGTGGTTATTGTGCTGCATGGTGGTTATTGGTGCTGTGTGTTGGTGGTTGGTTGGGTGCTGTGTGGCTGGTGGTTATTGTGCTGTGTGTGTGGTTGGTGCTGTGTGTTGGTGGTTATTGGTGCTGTGTGTTGGTGGTTATTGGTGCTGTGTGTGGGTGGTTATTGGTGCTGTGTGTTGGTGGTTATTGGTGCTGTGTGTGGGTGGTTATTGGTGCTGTGTGTTGGTGGTTATTGGTGCTGTGTGTGGGTGGTTATTGGTGCTGTGTGTGGGTGGTATTCTTGCTGACACCAACTGTAGGAGTATCGAGGCAACCAATATCCATAAAAACTATGCTGGACTGGCCATGTTACCCGCAGGGACGACAGTAGACTGCCAAAGCAGCTACTTTACAGTCACCTAACGAATAGTACACGTAATGCTGGGGGGCAGCTGAAGAGGTATAAGGATAGTCTTAAGACAAACCTGAAAACATACCAATTCGACCCCCTCGCGTGGGAGACGATTACTCCACACCGTGACGTTTGGAAGAGCACCATACAAGAAAGTGTTAATACTTTCGAGTTAGCTCGACTGCATAACGAGGTAGACAAGCGCCACGCCGGAAAGACGCTGCCGCTGCCCGTCCCGCACTAGACGGAGCTCCCTACACGTGCAACTTCTGTGATCGACCCTGCCGGTCCCGTATCGGCCTCTTTAGTCATCTCAAAACTCACCAACCTGGGTGACATCCTTAATGACTCACATCACTGTATCATAGCTGGATGGTCGTCATATTCGATTCCGAGTGACAGCAAAGTGGTGTTGTATGTGGGTGGTCATTGGTGTTGTGTGGGTGGTCATTGGTGTTGTGTGGGTGGTCATTGGTGTTGTGTGGGTGGTCATTGGTGTTGTGTGGGTGTATTTGGAGCCTTGGTTGTTGACGCCTGGCAACCAAACACCGGGCTGGGCTGGGCCGGTAAGGTGTATACTGTACAACTGAAGGCGGCCACTTCCCCAAAACATGGTTATTGATGACTATATGCATATACTATTAAGAATTACGCTGAATTGTGGGTTTTATGTTGTATGTTATTTTATCCTTATAAAGGTCTTAAAAAGTTTACATTGTGATTCTACATAATGACTGCAACGGTACGATCAGTTGAGCGGTGTAAAGCCGCCTTATTGTATCGACAGGAAATGTTACAGTACATTATTTGTAAAGGAAATGTTACTTCAGATTTAATTTAATAATAATAGTGCAGCTTCAACAGTAATGGTACCAGAAGTTTTGCATAATGTTTACATAAAACGCCCGAAGGACGAGTAGAGGTGGGGACCTTGAAGCCTTGGCTGTGTTTCCTTATAGATTGTGAATCATTCAACAAACGGGACAAACTACAGCCACTTTGTGTGATGAAATTTAAAGGGATTAAGTGCGTTTGAACACCTAACTACCATATTGTCAAATAATGGAAAATTTGATCCAGGAACAATTACTTGTACCAGACGTTTGGCTGGCGGCTGTAGTGAAAACCCTCGAGTTTGGATGAAATTTAACTAACAATTTGGAGTATAATATAAACCTCTATAATAATCATTCAGTATTATACCTAACCTTGGGTCTATAAACCTGGTCATTATTGCACAGTGATTGTGGTGCTGTGACAGTGAACACAGTTGAAGTTGCTTACTTGTAGGCAACACGAGCGCTCTGACATCGAACCGTGTAGTAGTCAGGTGTGAACGCCCTTGCCAACCCGCCATCATGTTGCTTCTTCGTCCACTGTGTCTTGCTTGTACTTGAGGTTTGTTCATTCACCGTAAGTTTTAGTTAACCTTTCATGCGTGGGAAGTAGAATAACAGTCTTTCTGGGTTTCCTTTCACTAAGAGTCTATACTATATGACACCTAAATGCGTTAAACTGTGTCGGTTCCAACGCAATCCTAACAGTTGCTTCGTGTTGCCCTTCAAAGGATTGATTTTGTTTTGTTTTTTCAGAACAGTAGGAAAGGTAGTGTTCATCACACCACGAGGACTTCCCCTCTACACGACTCATGACCAACTGAGTCGCTAGTAGTGGTGATTGGTGAAGGCAGAGTCACGCGACCCCGCCACGTTTGCACATCACAGAGCATGCGTCGACTTGTTGCGAGCACTATGCATCACACCCCTTGCCCGACAGACGCTATAATCATGAGCTTATCGTAGGAGTTTCTCAAGTCATAGAGGACGCTGACGTTTACCAATAAATTCAATTGTATTTAGTCGAGCATTGTTTAAATCTCACTCTATTAATGATTCAGTATCGGTCGTGTTATTTCCTTATTTGCGTATCGTCAGTCATCCTTCTGAGTTCAATTACCAAAAATATTCACCACCACCAACTTATATAAAAAAAAATCTCATAGACTAATGTTTAACCGTGTATCAGAGACCGGCCATGTAATACACCGAACATTGATAACAGAACAAAATAATGGTCACACGTTACCTAAATATAGCAACGCAGTTGAGCTCTTAACGCATACTAATTAATTCACCAAACTTTATAATATCGGCAACCATCTCGAGTAATTAACACAGGGGAGATATAACACAAAGGATGATTACTCTTACATTATTATTAACGTCTATTATATGTGTACGTACAAGAATATGCAGTAATAGTTTTAATGGCTGAACTGTGAGAGGTTGGGGACCAGTTGGTTATAGGTTATTGTGGTGGAGAGAAGTGGGGAGGTTATGTTATCGTGACGTGAAGAAGCGGTAAGGTTGTGTTATCGTGACGTGAAGAAGCGGTAAGGTTGTGTTATCGTGACGTGAAGAAGCGGTAAGGTTGTGTTATCGTGACGTGAAGAAGCGGTAAGGTTGTGTTATCGAATCCAGGTAAAAAAGTCACAAAAAAAGTCACAGGAAAAAAAGTCACAGGAAAAAAAGGAAAGTTAACTATCGAATTCTCACATTTTTTAAGGTTAATATGTCAACCTAACCTAACCTAACCTAACCTAGCCTTTATTACCGGCCACCATAAATTAATTGTGACTTTTTTTCCTGTGACTTTTTTTCCTAGCCAAAATTGTGACTTTTTTTCTGTGGCTTTATTACCGGCCACCGTGTTATCGTAGCGGGGAGAAGCGGGAAGGTTATGTTACCATCGTGACGTGTGACTGACCTTCATATAATTATTAACACGAGTACAACCTTTGGCTTGCTTCCTCCTACGTACATCTGCGTGTGTGAGTGATCTTGCTGGCTGCCAGTCACACCTTCAACTACTGTACCATAGGCAACCGTAACGGCCCAATGGTGATGGAGAATATTAACTTTGGGTTAGGTTATTAGTATAAAAGTCATTTAAGCTAAATTAAACTTTACACAAATTCAGTGGTTGAAAGTTTACACACACACACACACACACACACACACACACACACACACACACCAAAACAATATCATGGCGACTCGACCCCAAAGCTGACCCGGCCTGTAATATAACGTAACCAAACATCAACATTATAATCACCTGCCATTAACGAAATTAACCACAAACTTACCCTAACCTTTCATTAACCTAATCTATCTTGACTTAATCGGTGTATATATGTTTATTATGGGAGAAAACTCTTATATTCTTCGTGTGTGTGTGTGTGTGTGTGTGTGTGTGTGTGTGTGTGTGTGTGTGTTTTGAACCGGGTTATTTTTGTACACAGTTCACTTTACACAGCTAATGCATCACCGCCTTCTAAATAATCTGCCTGGTTAAATGATGTTTATCGACCATCGGTGAACGTGTTAGTGTTGTGACCTTCCAATAGTGGCTGGTGTGAAGAACGTCATTGTTTGGGTCATAGTGTATTTAAATAAGGTGACATGGGATTTAGTACGAGTACGAGTACGAAGTCTTTAGTTAAGAGGTGAAAGAAGATTATTAGGGATTGAGAGAAAAGTGGTGAAACTGAAATACAGTAGGAGTAAAAAGAATCTGGGCTCAACCAGATCGCTTCATCTTTCTTATTGGTGTTTTATCTTTGTTCTGCTCCCTTGGGCCGTCAGACCTTTGTATTAATATTGGTTTATTTGTATAATGCTGCTTATTATTGTTATTTTTATTATTGTTGGAGTTAGTGAGCTCGCCCAGGTCCTTCTTTAACTGGGAGGGTAGTCACATTTTTTTTTTTTTTTTTTTTTAGTATAAATGATATGGGAATTTAGTATCAGACTTAAGGAATCAGAATCAATAAGGATTTTCAACAGGATCACTTAAGCCAAGATAAATATATGTATAGGTATACGTAGTTGTGTCGGTACGTACATTCGTCGTCATAAACGTAATACGCACATCAATACGCACACGTAGACTAATCCTCGTGTATACATGCATGTACCAATTACGCTCATGGGCGTACAAATCTTGAAACACACACACACATATACTGGAAATGATCTAACCAGGAATACATTTAATAAGAAACAAGTTTAATTACATTACTTAACAAAGGATTGGATTCCAGTTGACGGCTTGAATATCTCTTCACCCCCCCCCCTAACCTCCCCTAAGAACCAACAAACAAGAATTTAAGCTGCAGTTGCACTCTGAACTCATCATACTTAGCGTGAGTAATAGGACACCACCTTTTTCTCATTCTGATCTCAGGATAAATTGGTAATTACATGGGAGAAGTTATAATAGCAGGTATCTCGTTCCCCGGTGGATTGATCGACCTGACCTGACCTGACCGTTTTTGTCGTGTCCTTGGGGGGAAATAAAGACTAGCCATGCAGCGAGAGGGGACGGGGGGGGGGGTGATGCAGATTTGGGGGTTGTCTAGCCATGAGGTAATTCTTGTTTGAGGATAAATCTAGCCATTCCGGAGGCCTTGTTTGAGGATAGTCTAGCCGTGGGTTGTCTTGGCTTAAGTATAGTCTCGCCATTCGAGGGAGTACTTGTTTTAGGGTAACCCAAGCCAACCAGCTGAGTGCCCGACATGAAGGATAGCTCTCTGATCATGAGTAAAGTAAGGAATACTTTTTGAGGAAGAGTCTAGGCAGGCAGTAGAGCTTCACGACCCACAGGTTAACAGTGCACCTGCCTGTCCTTCATCGAAATCTTAATTAGGATAATGATAAGACATTATAGTGTTCCGTGACATGAAATACTCCCCTCCCCCACCCTGACAGAGGTCGATATATTACACTAATAACAGACAGCAGCCATGCGAGTCGAGTAAGCAACACAACTGCTGTTTTATACACGCAGGAAGGTGTTGGATTAGCCTGGTCTCATGGCTCACCTGAAGGTTACAACCACCCACCGTATTTCACCTTCAGATTAACCACTAACACTAACTTAATCTAACCTAACACTAACTTAACATTAACCTAACCTAGCCCCGCCTAGGTATAATTAGGGTGTTTAATCTTGAGGTGAAATAAGCTGAGGGAGGCTAATCTTCAGGTGATCCAATGTCATCACAGATTACCTTAGACATAATCACGATGGGTAGTTTTTGTCACCTCCATAAATATTGAAAATTTGACAAAACTTTCACCACCAAATGAGTCAACTAGACCATCTTCCATCACCTTACGTTTCACAAACTTCCTTAAGAGAGATTCCGTACACCCGCCAGTATTGAATCCCCCGGCTAATCAGGTTATTTAGACGACTTAATTGCAGATAATTAATTGCTACATCGCGTGCACATTACCCACCATCGACCAGCTGGTGGGTGGGCGGACAGTAGGGCTCGGACCGACCTTCAGGATAAAAAGTACTCCGGTCAGGCTTACATTACGCCGCCGATGGTTAGCAGCGAGGTTGATAAGAAACGAGACCAGTTATTACATTCTCTCGGGGAGGGAGTAACCACGTGTAGTATTATCCTGATCAATGTAACTCAAACATGAAACTTAGGCCAAATGGTGTACTTTTATTGTTTTATTTCTATTGCCTTTTGTGCGTTTGCCAAAGCCACCAGTACCCTTGTCTTTATTACCGGGACTGGTTTAATGCAACCACTGACCCAAGAATCACCCCCCCCCCCCCCCCTGTTTATATTCTACATGACTCACTATTTGTGCAGCCATTCAAAGCCAATTCATGTGTAGTACTGGTAGTAAGTTTTGCTCGTAGTGTACGGGGTAAATCTGTAACAATACACGCCTGACGGTGGAAGGAGGAACTGAAGAATTATATTACACCCCCCTCCCCCCACCACCACCACCACCACCACCACCACCACCACCACCATCCACCTCTTATATTCTTCTGTTTATTTTGTTTTTTAGTGTGTGTGTATTTTCATTATTATTATCGTTATTGTTGTTGCTGTTATTATTGCTGTTTCGTTATAATTACTATTGAATTTGTCCTTGTTGGTTATAGTTTCGTTATTATTGTCATTATTACCAATCACCTTGAATGGTTAATTACGTATAATCAGTAGTTTGGCGTGACGCTGCCTTCCGGTGATTAAGTGGAATTATAAAGAGTTTGGTGATGTAAAAAGGTTGAGGCAGCCAGTCCACCTGGGCACTAATGGTTACCTGCCGCCAGACACACTTAACCACACCTGGGAGCTGGGGAATTTTATACCTGTTCACGGAGTTCTGTCAGTTTTCATCTGTCTTAAGCAACTTGAGTCACACCCAACCCAACCTAACCTAACCTAACCTAACCCAACCTAACCTAACCTAACCCAACCTAACCTAACCCAACCTAACCTAACCCAACCTAACCTAACCTAACCCAACCTAACCTAACCCAACCTAACCTAACCTAACCTAACCCTCCCAGGTAGCATTAAGGTGTTTAAATACTCAGGTAAAGTGAGCTAGAGAAAGAAGGGAGGGGGGGTAATCTTCATGTGGTCCGAGAATTCTTAAAAAAAAATCATTGCAGTTGTTCCTCGACCTGTTGAGTAATGATCTAGCGCCAGAGTTGTAATTTTGGTAATTAGGTTTGTTAATGACCCCTGATATAATGTCACTCGTGTGGAGCACTAATTAATTACGGTACTCGCTTACTCAGAGTTGGTGGTGAGAATCTTTTTTTTTTCTGGAAATACTAACCTAACTATATTCAGAAGCCAAATAAATACTGTATAGCAACATTATCCATACCAGTTTACGTAATGGGGGGATTAACGGTGAGCGGGTACTGTATGGCGGAGTGATATAAGAC